TACAAGCAGTTTGCCTTCCACTCTTGTCCCCCATTTGCATGATTCACTTGCAAATATCTCATGATAATAGAGACTTACACAAGTATGTGATTTCTCCTTTTTCACACAAATGATAGTGTCATATATATGCTGTCACTTTCTTTAATGCTTCACTTTATAAAAACGGTTCACTAAGTATGCTTTTAGGTGCAGTTTTCCTGGTCACAGATGTGTCTGGGGACAAACTGAAGATTGAATCAAGTCTTCAGTTACTTAGTTTCATAATAAATTGCCTTTAGTCTATGAAGAGAAATCTACAACTGTGACACAAGTACCTTCACCTTAGGGAGATTGTGACTCTGGCTATATTTCTCTCAGATTTCCACTTGCTTGCTTTCACCAGCCCATGAGTTCTTGTTCACAGAGTGGTCTCTTAGATTTGGTCTCTCCTGCCAAGTAGTCAAGTGTAGACTCAGTTGCTGTTTTGTTAATACATGAATAGATAGGAAAATTGTTAGGTTAAGTCACTTTTGTATAATTTATCTCAGTGATGCTTAAACTGTGTGTAGAGACTCATTTATGGATTACACAATCAATTTAGTGGGTCACAATGACATTTTAAAAATTAAGTAAAGAGGCTTCAAAAATCTCCTGGAAAAATTGTGTTATCTTTTAATTCAAGTTTTCTATGAAATTTTGAAGTATAGACCATTTCAGTATGTATAATGTCAGAAGTATTGCACAAAGTACTGATGACATATAATGTATCTCATGAAATCTTTATTTCAGTAATGCATGTAATAGTTATATGTGTACATATATGTGTATTACATCATGATATAAAACTTTTTTTTTACTCTGGACTGTGGTAAAAAAGTCTGTGGTCAAAAGCTATGGTTGTTACCAATTATACCTCAGTACATCATTATTCCAATTACTAGCAGGTGAAAACCTACACTTGAGAGGGTAACATTGCCTTTCCCAAAGTAAAGAGTGGAGCTGAGGTACGTTTGCGTTTCTGGACTTGAGATTTTATACTATTTTCGTTTTCCAATATAGCTCCTTTTTTAGTTACTATTAACAGAAATGGAGTCCTGGTGAGGCACTGCAGGGTAAATTCTGGATTGTTAATCCCAAGGCAACAATTCAAACCAACCATCCTCTCCTTTGAAACCCTATACAGGGTCACAATGAGTCAGAACTGACTTGGTACCACTTAACAAGAAGGAAATGAAGTTTGTGATTTGGTCACCATGATCTTAATAAAAATATCAGTTCCTTTAAATTTTGTTTTGTTTTGCTTTTCAACCTAATCTTTTGTCCCTTATATAAATTTTTCTCAAATTGAAGAGTTCCTCAGTAATTTGATACTTACCTTAACATTTTATCTATACTGTAAAGTTTAGATACCCCTCAAATAATTAAAAACAATAGTAACAACAAAAATATTTACAATAGAATATTGGAGAATCAGCAGATACCAACTGGAAAGATAGAGAGTATGCTAATGCAGTTCATGGACCAGCAACTGTTTCAGTACCTGGGAGCCTATTAGAAGTATATAACCCTCTCTACCTTGCTTAGGCCTACTGGATTAGAATCTGCATGTTAGCGAAGGCTCTAAGTGACTTGATAGTGCAGTGCCATGAGAAACACCGGTGTAAGGCATCAGGTCCTATTTGTTTTGTTCTGTTTTAATAGAAGATCAATTGAATCATACAGTGAGTGATTGAATGACTTTTCACGTATTCAGTTAGTCAACCTACATTTACTGAGTGTGTACCACGTCCCAAATCTTATGCCAAACGTGGGGATATAAAAATAAATCAAGAGTAGACGCTACTTATATTCTTAGTTCTAACTAAAGGCAAGTGACCTATTAACGTATAAATGCAGTCAACTATTAGGGATCTAATGAGCCCTGGTGGTATAATGGATTAAGCACTGGTCTTCTAATGATACGGTCAGCAATTTGAACCCACTGGCCACTCTATGAGGCACTTGTACTCTATCCTATAGACGCAGTGTGAGTTGTAATCGACTACACAGCAGAGGTAAGAAGGGTTATTATAGAATTATTAAAGGGTTTGGACACCTGGTATGGTGCTGTAGGATCAGCACTGGACTGCAAACCACAAGGTCAGAAGTTCAAACCCACTAGCTGCTCCTCGTAAACCTTATACAGGGTTTCTATGAGTTAGAACTTACTGGGTGGCACATAACAATAGTTATAGGGATAGACTCTCTTCTGAAACCCTGGATATGTATGTAGGTTTCACATGAGTGTTTGGATGAATTAGGAAGAATTATGTATTCATGTGTGTTTGTTTGTTTCACTATAATTAATGAATCTAGACTTCACTGATGATCCAAGTTGCATTGCTCCCATGGGGTTTCCATTACAATCACTCATAGCCAATAATGTATCACACTGTATGCATGTAAATTCTTTTTTCCTTTGGTGGTGGCAGTGGTTATGTGCTGTGGAGTTGATTCCAACTCATAGTGACCCTGTGTAGGTTTTCTGTGGCTGTAAATCTTTACAGGAGCAGGAAGCCTCATGTTTTTCTTGCAGAACAGCTGGTAGTTTTGAACTGCTGACCTTAGGGTTCACAGCCACTACACTACCAGAGCCTCTTTCTTTTTTCCTTCACTGGAGCCTTTATTTTTTGAAGTGATAAGCAAGCACTGTACTTAAATAGATGGTTTCCTAGTATGCCCAAATCATGTTGCTAGGGTAACTACAGCAGTTTAAAACTCAGTTCCAGTTTGCCCTGTTACCTTGGTTTTGGCTACACCTGCTTGTCAGTGTTACTGCAGTAGACTATCTAAGAGACTATGGGATGTGGACCGCACTAGGTGATGCAAATTACCGTCTATCAAATTTTTGTGCAATGTTTTACCAAAAAAAAAAAAAATTTTTATAAAATTAACCCTATAGTTAGTGAAAACATCAAAAAAATTTTTCCTAGGTCCAGTTTACATGTATTAATATACCTACAAGCTAAAACACTATTAATTTACTTTTTTGAACTTTCTAATACGCTCTGTTCAGAGCTGTCATCATTAACCAATTGCTGTGACACTTCAAATTACAGTTTTGTCTGCACTTGCTACAGGCATGTGCTATGGTTTTAGTTGCTGATGATGTTTTTATAGTTGCTAACTTTGCCATATTTTCTTATGTCTTCGCTATAAAATTGTGGTACTTTGCATTTGAGAACTTCATATATCAATAACTTATGAGAATGATGCAGTAATGAAAGGAAAATTAAAAGAGAACTCTGTACGGTTACTAATAATGTAACTAATAATTTTATAATTCATTTTGTAAATTTTACAAAAGAATTTGTTTTTCATATTCATATAATCTAAGAAATGTTACATTTAATCAATTTATAATTGCAGTCCTGGTAGGGCATTGGGTTAATACGATGGACTGCAAAGTCAATTTAAACTGCAAGTTCAGTGGTTCAAGCTCACTAGCCACTCCTCAGAGCCCCTATAGAGGGTTGCTATGAGTCGGAACAACAGCAACAATTTCGAATTATAGGACATATTATGCTTTGATAAAATTTGTTAGTAAGCATTGTTAAGGATTCTGTATGACCCTATATGTTTGTTTTATGCCAGAGTTAACTTCATGACGCATGTGGGGAATAAAGTACTTATCCCAGCTTGCAAACAAGTGTTTTATCCATGTTATTAACTTTGTTTCACTAGCTACTATTGAGTTGACTCATATTTACTCCATGTGTTCCAGAGTAGAACTGTTCTCATAGAGTTTTTAATGGCAGATGTTTTGGAAATAGATCTCCAGACCTTTCTTCGGAACCACCTCTGAGTAGAGTAAAGCCTCTAATCTTTAAGTTAGAGTCTCATACTTTTCAGTTAGTTGCTAAGCATGTTATTAAAAAGATGGGGACATGGTGGCATCCTCAATGCTGGTGTCACTCAGTGGGATAAACTCATTCCATCTCCTCCCCTATAGATCTGTCTGTACCAAATCATGCAGAACACTTAGTAATGTTTATTATCAATTTCTTATTCCCATTTTTTCCTGTCTGTCCTGCATGTGCTTTCAGCTTTTTTTTTTTTTTTAAGCAGCAAATCATAGTTGTAACCAAGTGTTTCTTTCTCAGACATCTTGGAGGGTCCACATTGCATGCATGGTGAAATTCAAACCCTTTTTTGGTTGTGCCATATGTCTAAATGCATATTTTCATTACCTCTCTAATTTCTGTAGCTCTGTAGCTATTATTTGATATTCCCATGTTTATATCAATTGTAACCTACTCTTTTCCCCTACACCCTGAATTTTCTCACCTCTGTGATGTCTTTCCCTTGCCTTTCTGCCCATTTCAAACGTGGTCTCTACATCATAAAGTTTAGGGACAACCTAATTGGTGGCTCAGTAGGACCCTCTTTGCTCTGCCAGCTTAAAAAAGAAAAAAAATCTAAATATTCTAAAAAGTTTGTGTGTATATTTTTATAATTTGTATCTTATATTATCCTTTCTTTTGTACACTTTTTTCCCCCTTTGCTGCTTGATTGTAAAATTAATTTAGAGTACTCACCAATGCTATATAATACCTCGGTAACCCCACAATTCAAGCACCTTCTGTTGTCTTGCTAAGTATACATGGCTTCTCTAGACAGGCTTTTACACTTCTTCATATCAGACCTGCTTTTCTTATCAAATCTAGGGCTACTAATTACGCTGTAGCCCACTAAGATAGGGAATAATTGCTATGTTGCTGTTGTTAAGTGCCATTGAGTTGGTTCCAACTCTTCGCGACGCTGTATAGGATTTTCTGCTGGAGCAGAAAGCCTCACCTGTTGGACTGAACCACTAACCTTGTGGTTCACAGTCCAGACACAAAGCAGGAAATTATGTCAAAAGATGATTATAAAGTGGTAACATATCACCAAGTATATGTGTGTTGTGTGTGTGTGTGTTTTTAAAGAACACTGTACAATAGCATGCATTTTTACTCCATGTATGTATTTCCTTTCTGTAGGTGATTTTCTTCCACCCCCACCTCCACTGCTAGATGATCCCAGTGTCCTTCCACCTGGTCCTGGAAATTTCCCTCCTCCACCACCCCTTGAGGAAGGTGCTTTCAGAGTGCAGGTAAGATCTGTGATTGAAGTCATGTTTATAAGCTAGGCTAGGAAGTTCATGAACTCAGTGATTGTTTCTGTGGTGGATAAATATTTTTCCAGCTCCTACAGAGAGCTTTACAGCTCACAAAGAGCTAGGGTACTTTAGTTCAAAATGTCCAGCTCGAGCTTCTTGGAGTTCTGCTGGCTTGCACTCTGAAGCCTTGAAAATCCGCGTACCTACTAATTTTGTTTTGAACCTGAAAGTCTTTTTTGTTTTTTTTTTTTTTTAATTTATAGAAGCTATTTGAAAGGTTTTCTTATTCTTCTGGAACACAAAATCTAGCTTTCTATTTCAATTTACATTTTTCTCTATCTACAAACATTGCATACTAAAGAGTGGGCTAATATTTTATGGCCTTTGTTAATCATTGCTGGTCTTAATTGGTCCCAAACACCTTTCTGTCAAAAGCAACAGTGAAAATCATAAGGTTTTTTTCTCCTAGATAATTTCAAGGATGCATATTTTAAAAATACATTGGTAACTGCAAAAATGAAATGGGAACCATGTCTGTCCTCCTCTGACTCCACATCAGCCCAAGGCTGATTCCTATCAGGGTTCCATCAGACATGCCTTCATCCTCCAGCCTTCCTTAGAGTATTCTGGCATCAACCATCCCTCCTGTGGTGCTGTCTGATGCTCCTTGGGGTTCAATAATTTGTTGTCCTGGCTCCACAGAACTCGTAGACAGTACTCATGATTATGAGATTTATTAGGGAAGTTAACAGGGAACAATTCTGGATTATAAACAACTCAGGATATAGGTATTCTCATGTCAGGAACACCTCTTTCCAGCCATATTGCAAGAATATGTTGCTCTTATCCTCGTCCTCTAAACATCACGGCCCATTGTCCTCTCTCTGCCCTGTTCAGACAAGTGTTACAAAGCTCCTTTAGTGCTGCTTGTAATTGCCCAAATGGTATATTCTTCAAGGCTGTTTCCTGCCTAAAGACAGCCAGTCTGTCTTTGCTGTGGCCTCTGCTTTCCTTGCTTCTCTGTGCAGAGATCTTGAGGTCCAGTGGTCATGTTTCACATATGGCTCTTCTCTCTTGACAGTCTTGGGATCCTCTGTTCTTGCTTCTGAGATGACTCCTTTTGAATCCAGTGCAATGACAAAACCAACCAGTTCTTGAGTTACCAGTCTCATGCACCCTATTCTCATCATATTACCTAAACGTTTCTGCGGGTAAATGTATTAGACTGCAAGGTTGGAGGTTCAAGCTCACCAGCCGCTCCTCAGAAACTCCATGCGGCGTTGCTATGAGTCGGAACCAACTCGACAGCACTTAATAACAATAGCAAAACCCAAACACTTGGTGGGAGATTATGGATAGACGAGCCATATTAAGTAAATCCACATTACTACAGTTATAAACTGTTAATGCTCTGTAAACTGTTGCTTACAAAGTAACTCAGAACTGGAGTCTCAAATAGGTCTCAGACTGAATATAGGTATGGACACACTACGGTCTGGTTGCCATGATTTAAGATGGGTGGAGATGTCATTTATGTCAGGAAGGAAAACTAATGGATAAATCTCTACAATTATTGATGTTATTATAGGTATGTTGAAATAAAAGAATCGGTATCTTTTGGAGAAAAATATTTGGTAAAATATAATGTCTGTGCTTGCTTCAAAAGAGTAAGTATAGGGTGCCAATGAGTGAAAATATATATGAGAAAGTTATCCACTGATGAGTATTAAGTTTATGGGGGTTTATTCCCTTATTCAGTATATATCTATATCTATATCTATATCTATCTATCTATCTATCTACATGTATACATACACACACACACACACACACATATATATAAAGTCCAGATGGGGCATTGTAGGATAAGCATGGGACTGCTGATTTCCAGGTCAGCAATTCAAATCCACTAACCACTCCTAGGAAACCCTATAAAGGGTCACAGTGAGTCAGAATGAACTGTATAGCACTTTACAACAACATAGGGTTTCAGTGGAGTAATTGGTGGGTTTGAATCGCTGATCCTACAGTGCCTTCTCTGCCTTTCACGCTGCTAAATTTGAGGTTGGGAGAAATAAAGGAAAAAATGACTGATTAATTTGGTAAGTAATCTGACTTCTGTTTGGTCTTTTCTAGGACTTAGAATTCTGTAGTAAATAAGATATGTACAATTTTGTACTTTTGGGACTTCAAATGGAAGTAAAGAAACTATATAGATGTATATTCTTTGAAGTGGGATAGATGTCTTGAATGGAGGGTAGTTAGTACATGGTGTATGGTTTACTTAGGGTTGGTGTGGTTCAAGACTGTTTCACTAAGAAGTTGAAAATTAAACAAATCCTTACAGTATGAGAGGAGGGAATGAACTGTGTGGCTCTCTGTGAGGGATATATTTTCATACAGTTGATCTTAGAAAGAAGCTTTTCATATCACACATCTGTTGAAATTGTTTCTAATATAACCAGTAAGTTCCAATTCAGTTTGGGGACTAGAGCTTTTAAAGGCTATCAATTTTTTTTATTGTTGTTTTAGAGAACTGTGTTACACGTATTTTATTTAACTGTAAATTAATGTTTTAAAATAAAAAAAAATCAGATTTCGGTCATGGCCATGAGTCCTCTAAGGTGAATATTTATTTTATGCAATAAAATTTCTTAGTAAGTAAGAATAATTTATTTCTTAGTAAGTAAGAATAATTTATTTCCTTTATCTTTTTATGAAAAGTGAGAAAAAAACCAAAACACCCACCTGGTTTGAGTGTTTGTATATTATGTAATTTAAGGAATTAAACAATTTGCGTAGTGTACTTTTTTTTCTGCATGGGTCCTTATGGAAACCATTTTGCTTCATTTTAAGAGTTTTGTTCCATGTTAAAAGTGTTTGCCCTCGTGAAGGATGACTTGTGTTGGAAGACTACTTGAGCACCTTATTCTAGTTGTATGTTCTTGAGCATGTCATGCAATCTAAATTCTAGTTGTCTCATAAGCAAAAGGAAGATAAATGTATACCTGCCTCTCTTAATTAAGTAAAATACAGATGGATTTCAAATTGTCAAGCCGAAATGGCTGTAGAGCTCTTTTGATATTATTATTGTTGTTAGGTACCATCAAGTCACTACCAATTCATAGCAACACTATGCACAACAGAACGAAACCCTCCCCAGTCCTGGGCTAACCTCACAATTGTTGCCACGCTTGAACCCACTGATGCTGCCACTTTGCCAATCCATCTCGCTGGGGGTCTTCCTCTTTTTCTGTGACCCTCCACCTTACCAAACATGATATCCTTCTCCAGTGACTGGTCCCTCCTGACAATAAGTCCAAAATATGAGAGATGAAGTCTGGCCATCCTGGCCTCCAAGGAGCACTCTGGCTGCACTTCTTCCAACACAGATCTGTTTGTTTTTTTGGCAGCCCATGACGCTTTGAATATTCTCCTCCAGCACCATAACTCAAAAGCATTAATTCTTCTACAATCTTCCTTATTCACTGTCCAGCTTTTGCATCCATATGAGGTTACTGAAAATACTATGGCTTGGGTCAGGTGTACCTTAGTCCTCAAGCTGACATCTTTGCTCTTCAACACTTTAAAAAGGTCTTGTACAGCAAATTTGCCTAATGAAGTATGTCATTTGATTTCTTGGCTGCTGCTTCCATGAGTGCTGATGATTGATCCAAGAAATGAAGTCTTTAACAACTTCAATGTTTTCTCCATTGATAAGAATGTTGCTTATTGATCCAGTGGTGAGGACTTTTGTTTTCTTTACATTGAGATGCAATCCATACTGAAGGCTGTGCTCTTTGATTTTCATCAGTAAATATTTTAAGTCCTCTTCACTTTCAGCAAGCAAGGTTGTATCATCTGAATATCACAGATTGTTAATGAGTCTTCCTCAGATCCTGATGTTATGTTTTTCTTCATATAACTCAGTAACAGTTAATACATTAAAATAGCAATAACAATGATAATAGCAAGGGTTTACCAATGGGTTCCATTAAGAAAAAAAAAAAAATCACATAAGAGGCTTTCATAAAATCGCAAGAAGGCTTTTTCTGTATGGATTTTGTTCTGATAACTGTACTGTAGGCATGACTTTGTTTTTGAAATGGAAGGAAATAAACAAAAAGCCTGCTGCCATGTTGGCTTATGTTCTCTGTGTGACAGAAGGAAGAAGGATAAAATATAAAATGGTGCTTGCCTGATGGAAAAGGACAAATCTGGTAGAGAGAAGAGTGTTATTTTTGAGACTCTTCATATGGAAGTTTGTTGGCAAGTTCAAAGGAAAATGGATATGACTTTACCCTGTGTAGTGGTATGACAGTGGTTTAGCCCCACTATGGCCATATTTGCACCACCTTCTAGATATGATTTATAATGTAACATAAAGTAATATGATCATCAGAGTGAAGTTTGTACTTTTTCCTCTCAACCATGGTTAAACTTCATGTTGCCAAGTCCAAATTATAGCTGGTAAATGTGTGTTTTTATGTAAAGTCTGTTTATGTTTCCAGCCAGATTCTCAGGTCAGAGCCAAAAGAATGTCTAGTAAGTGTGACTATAAGAATTGTAAGATTTTCAGAGCTGAAAGGGACTTTAGAGATCACTTAGTCCAACCCTGGCGCCAAGCAGCTACTAACAGCCCTTTCGAGTACTTGTTGAGTGAATTAGCTCCTTCTCTTTGCCAGTGGGGAAACTGAGACTCAGGGAAGTGTGGAAGTTGTAGTTCCTGACAGAGCTCTTAAATGGAATTTGAAAACCCTTAACTCCTAGATTTGACCATGTCCTCACTAGACCAGATGGCCTGTGTAAATAATTCTGCTGTCATCCGCCCCCTCCCTATAATTCTCTGAAAGTCAGACTTTGGAAAGGATCGGGGGCTGCAGTAATTTTTCTTGGCTCCTTGCAGCTTTCATATATGCTATCAAGTTACTTTTGCAAATACACATTTAGTGTCAAGGATTCTTGTATTGAGAATTCTCATTTAGATTAAAAAA